TCCAGAGGTGGGATCTCATAATTTGTTAATTCCTAATACCAAGAGAAAGAAAAAGAATTGTTATCAATTTACTCCTTCTATAATGGGGTATGGCTATTTCTGAAATTTATTTATGTGATTTTTACTTAGATAATGATTTATTGGAGACAGAAATCTAATGTCACAGATTCAAACCTGATCACACTTTTGATATCACTTCATTTTTTAAATCATTTCATTGTTTAATGAGAAATACATTTTATATTAGGCCCTAATACTAAAGCTGTGAGATCCCAAACTGATTGTTGTGACTGTGTTGCACCAGAACAATTATTAGATCAGAGTGAATGGGATTAAATTCAGAGGAAATCAATTTTTTAAATTTTTTTTCGTGGGAAAGGGTTCTGCAGGAATTCTTGTTAGAGATTTTATGTATGTGAACCAAAATTGTCACACTTTATTTCAGGAAGTGTTTGCTTGTGAGGAGTGCTCTCACGTTATAGAAATGGCCATGTAACTGCAGACTGTGCCATGACGAGGGCTGCGAAGCCACAAAGTTGATATCCACATACCGAAACTTGACGCTGCACGAAATGTCACTTACAACAGAAGTGAGATGGAAGAAATTCAGAAGTGTAAGATCTTTTATAATATGAGAATAAGCACAGTAAGTAAGTGAAAGTGAAAGTGTTTATATCTGAAGTGTGGCCGGATTAAGATATGCGTAACTTAAAATATGTGAAAGTTAAATATACTGAGTTTGCTGCACAGAAATTAACATTAAATAAATTTGTTTTATATTAAATATTTGATAAGCTTTAGTAAGATTTGTGAACGTCAACTATAATATCAACAGTTGAAGTAAAGTTGTATAAAAATTAGTGAAGAAACTGTCAAATGATGGAACTGAGCTGAACCGACAGCGCTTAATACTGTAAAATATTTAGCTGTGATTCTGGCCTAGGGTGACCAAACTCCTCACTGTTAATTCAGGTACATTTTCTTGTCTAATTTTACTCTTCAGGATATATTTTTTGTGAATGTTTACCACAAACGTGTCACATCATGCCATCTGGCAGAGACGTTAACACTGGACTCTCTCAAACCCATACTCAATTTTTAGTCAGAAGTAAGTAACTTGTAGACGAATTTTTGGAACTCGTGATAAATATATTCATAATAGTAAAAATGCCACCTAAGAAACCACCACCTTCGTTAATCAAAATATGTCTACGAGCTTTTGCAGACTGGTTCTTAAAAGTATGGGAGACCGGTAGTCAGCAAGAAATAGAAAATTTTGGACTGGAAGTGCACAGATTCCTGTCATCGCATATTCCTTCTGTGGTTGCCGACAGCTTAATTTCACAACTGCTCGAGATGTACGTTCAGAGATATGAATGTAATCCCGATATGCATATGAGCATCTTCCTTCACTGTATAATGCTGCCACAGTTAAATGTTATAGATTTCTCAGAAGTAATAAACCTTGGCATTAATACCATAGGATTCTTTGAGTATGTTATTGCTTCAGAATTACACTCGCATGGAAGGTTGGTGAAGATTTCTTTGCAAATGCATGGAAGAGACAGTGACCTTCAATTATGTACTGATCACACTTTGGAGCTAATTGGAAAGAACTGCCCACAACTAAAGTCATTAAATGTTTCTTATAGTGGCCATGTTCGTAATGAAGGCCTGCAGTATCTTGTTCCATGTTCAGAAAGTCCAGGGTGCCCTCTGTTAGAAGAAATATTTGTTTATAAATGTGCTGTTTCTGAGATTGGGGTGACTAATATTCTGAGGTCATTGCCCAACATTCGTTTAATTGGATACGAGAAAATGGTTTTATGTCTTCTGCAGTTGTATGAACAGATGACCAGAGACGGCAGTCCTTTGAAAGAGCGCCTTAAACTTACACATGTTGAAAATACGAGTATAAACCTTGATCGAAGTTACATGCGTTTTGACAAAAGAGTGGTCGATGTCGTATGTACGCTTTGTCCACACTTGTATGATCTTAAAGTCCATGTAGCCGATGAGGATGTTCCGACACTTGAACAGTTCGAGTCTCTCACTTCACTGGAACTGACCTATAAAATTCAGAGACCGGCGTCTCCAGGGGAAGGTACAGAGTACTTCCTCCGTGTTCGAGGCGCACAGCTCAGCAGCCTAGCAATTACTTGTCTCGTCCTACACGAGAAGCAAATTATAATGCTTGGGGAAAATTGCTCTAACTTAAAACATCTGTATCTGAAATGCGAGTGGCTAGAACTGCGTCATTTGGAACTGGAACATGACGACGCGCTCAGCAAATGCAAATTCTTTAAACTTGAATCGCTGTGTTTTTTTACTGGGAAAGAACCACGGCATGTGTCTGAATTTCCTGTGAGAGTTGTACAGTGCATATTACGTAATACAGACAGGCTTGAAGAGCTAAAGATTTTTGTAAATACTCCTTCAATAACAGATGTTTGGATGAATGAGTTGTTATCATCTGTCAACACAGCAGTGCTAAAAGAATTGATGATCGCTTTGCCTGGCAGATACAGGAAATCGACAGTCATTGATCTGTCGATGTCATCTGTTAACGAGATAATCAGCCGAGCACCTCATTTGCAGAAGTTAGGGAATCTTATATTTTGGAATGTGAGGTCAAAAAAGGTATGGAAGTTGAAGCGTAAGATGGAGAAATTGAATTTTGATTTAAATATAATAATCGAATCCATGACAGAGAATTGGTAATGGAGTTTGAGTAGTGTATTTTGAATTTGCAGATGGAGAGCATTTATTGAGAATCAGAATGTGTATTCTGCACTAGAATTATGAACAAGAACATTGCCTGTAACATCAGAATTGCTTGTGTATTAATATTTACGTGATAAGAAATATTTTTCACAAAGATATATATAAATTTCTTCAATGTACTGCAATTTAATATTACCAGAAACATTGTTGTGTGTTATGAAACATACGCTTCTCGATCTGCCTTGTTGCTTGAAACATAGAGTTGCTATTTAATATGTTATTGTATTTCAAAACTTTATGCAAAGTGTTATCGTCATTGTATGGATGGTGATTTTTGTTGTTCCTAAGAAAATTATTTACTATGTTAAAATGTACAGTCAGTAGTTTTGTGTAATTGTAGATGTATAAAGCAGATGTGGACGTAATTCAAAATAAGCAAGTTGAAGTTTGAATTTCTAATGGTTTTGCTAGAATATAAATTAGTACTTCAGCTGGGATAGCTCAATTATAATGACTAGGCTACAGGTTGGATGACCAGTGTTTGGTATCCTGACTTCAGAATTATTCTCTTTTCCGCAATGTCGAAACTGACCCTGGGGCCCATCTAGCCTCATGTCCAATGGGCACCAAAGTTTCCACAGATGTAAAGCAGCCAGGGTATGAAGCAGACCATCCATTTTCTTCTGGTACCCCATACATCTGCATGATGTGGTGTTCCGTCAAGCATCGGGTAAACTAAGCCGTTGGTTCTAAGATTAATAAGCTGCCTAACATAATAAAATATTTTAATTCTTCACAGGAACAGTAACATCGCACACAAAATCTCAGTTGCATTAGAAGTAGAGTTTGTGTCCACAGGTCTGGTCATATTAATGTCGATGGATTCGTGTTATTGTGTACTAGAGTTTAGAATGTATTGTTGAGGAACTAACCATCTTATAGTTATTACATTGCACAGTTAGAAACCATTTTTCCATATTTATGTAAGTGTTCACCTTGTTAAAAATGTTTGTAGACCTGAATGACATTTGTAATTAATATTATTACTTTTTTCAATTGGTACTTGGTCTCATGACCTGAATGACATTTGTAATTAATATTTTTACTTTTTTCAATTGGTACTTGGTGTCACTGTAAAGCAAAATAGAGGTTATGTCTGACAAATACAAACTTTGTGAAAATTTTGTTAGTGTACATTCCCAGCACCACGTTCAGCTGACATCTTGTCCGTTTCAATTAATTAGAAATGAAATGGATGCTTGTGAAATAGACCTAAGGTAAGTCTTGTCATAAATTAAGAAGTGACTTTTATAAACCTGTAGAGGTAGGTGCAAGGAATATACAGCTTCATGAATTTGGAGTGCAAATAATGGACAGGAGTGTGTGAAAAACTGTTTAAGCCTTTTAGATCCTTTGTCATATATAAGTCAGAAATCTTTATACTCTGAAATTAAATAGAGAACGTGAAACTGGCCTAGGTATTTGTCACATTTAATCCAACATTTACAAAATTATATTTGAGTAGTAACAGCATCTGGTGAAGTGTTATATAAAGGTAATTTGGACTTCAAAGGGTTATGGAATCCTGTTTACAAATGTTTCATGGTAACAGGTTGATTGGGAAGAAATATAAACATCACAGAATCGGCTACTGAAGAAATATACTCCAGGAAAATGTAAATGACTGAGAAGAAACATGTTGAGGTTAGTGAATCACTTTGAAACAGCCACAAAAAATAAGGACCAAAACTAATTGTAAACTTTTCATGTTTTCAAAAAAGTGCAATCTTTTCTGGCACCAACATTTTCAAGTTGGTCACCTGATCTCAGAAGGCTTGGGAATGAAACCACAATTTTAAGCAGCATTGAGAAAGCCTTAAATACGTTATGCTTTTCCCTGCTGAAGAGTTAATAATGTTTAAAATAAACTCACAAAATTTAAAAGATTTCTTGCCTTAATATATCATATAATGTAGAGAATTTTAATGGTGTTTCTAGACCACAACTATTAATTTTGATTTAATTTTTAGTGCTTGTTGTGTGGGGGTTGGTAAGACTAATTTTTTAAATAAAATATACGCGGAACATTTCCCACGGATAAATTTCAGTTTCTCGTATTTTCCATCACACCCAATTTCTTCAACAAAAGAGGCTAGGGCTCAGAAGAGCAATATTACATTTAACCTTGCATATATGTCTGGTCGCAAAACTTTTTTTGTGTGCTTTACAGACGCGATTTATCAGTCCATACCATCATCAGCGGCTTTTCTAAGGCCACTCGATCTGCACTAATGAGAAAAAACTGCCTAGAACGTTATTTGCGGAAAGTCGTATTTAAAGTAATCAAAATGTGTTAGGCTTACTGCAAATGGTTGGATAAATATAATTTATATTAGACCTGCTATAAATCTGAAGCTGCTGCCACCTGTGGTTAGCAGACGAAATTAATTTTCGACTTCTTTAAATTCTTATGTTAAAGTATGCAATTTGTTATGCATATAACTACTCTGTGACTTCTAGATTTGTTTATAGTAGGGAAGTTTGGAATTGTACTTTTTTAAAACATCTGTGAAATTCCCTGACTCGTGTGTTGGACACACTTGGCACAGTAATTTAGAAGATGTCGGTTGTGAGCTTGTGACCGTGTTGCGTGTTGTTTGATTACAGTGGACTAAGTGTGACTGTGTTTATAACAATTGTAAAGATGTGATCTGTTCAAGACGTTTCTCGAGTGCAAAGTTAAACTTGCTGCACACACAACAGGTCAGTGTGACTTTCATCACTACTAAGAAAGGTATGGAGAGTATTACATTAAAAGCAACAGGTGTGTGTATGTGTGTATTTGACCGCAGAATCTTGAATGTGTACTTAATTGTAAGCGATTGAAGTGATGACTCCTTTTGAACTAAGTATTTTACTGCATTGATCAAAGTTTGTTTTGAGAAGCTATTGTTCGGTTCGTCAAGACAAATAAACCGAATATGGAGAAAGAATCTGTCCCAATGCCAATTGTCCACCACAAATCCCACACGGACTGACCATAACAGATACGACTTGCTACAAACACCGTAATAGCACAGCCCAAAGTTTCAACATCGCTGAAACCTGCGTCCTCCACTGAATAGGATAGGATCTTGAAGCTGGAATATTATCTGTCTTTCTTAATGGAAAACCCGATCTACGGTCTTCAAAGTGCACTATTTCAAAGATATTTCCCCACCAAAATTCAGCATTTATTTTTCCTCCAGACCATACTAAGACCCTTGTAGTTTTCATTAGATTTTGTTAGGTGATCTGTATGTCAAAATTTTCTGTTTACGTAAATAATATCCTAAATTACTTCATCGTTTTGAAGGTGAAGTATTTCCCAGAACACTTCGGTTCAGATACTTATAATCTTAGTTCTTACCACAAACTACGAGGCCACAGGACTCGCATTTAGTTAAATACACACGAAGCACAGACCTTGTTAAACAAGATATATAGGCCAATTTCTTGCTATATATGACGATTAATCTTGGAGAAGCCTACAGTGCAATTTAACTTGAACGTCAGAGAAAGCTGTAAGGTTCCAACTATTTTATTTTTATTTTCTGATATTATTTAGGATACTTTATTTCTAAACGCGTCACGAAAACATCTTACAAGGAAGTTGCAAATATTTCGAATATAAATAATTTTGTATTGCTATAAATTAACAGCGTTTTATATCGGTTTATTGGTTGTGTGGTAGAGCATTTAAACATTTAAAATTAATAATAGTCTGCAATATATTTCCTGGACAATTAATTAAGGAAATTAGATAAGAATACATATATGTTTGTGCGTGTGTCTATGTTTGAGGAAGATTACTAAACGTTGATTTGAATATTCCATGTGGAATTCGTAATAATTCAGCGAGATTTATGTGAGGTAACAGAATTTTTGCGAGTTCGTTACCAATATGAACCTGTTAGACTGTAACTACTTCAATTATATTTCTACTAAATATCATGTATGTACAAATCGTATGTAAGATGACGCTCAGTATGGGAAAGGGCGTATATTTAATACCCCAAAAATTATTTATGTTTTATGCGCAGTTTTCCGTAAAAACACAAAACAATAAAATTAACATCATTGGAATATGTAACACATTTTTTATGATTACCATATAAAAATATTTATTTATCTAGGTATTAAACATTCAGTGTTTGTTAACGCGTTTTGATTTAGAAGCAAGTATTTTCATTTGCCACTATGTAGAATGAACTTTAAACAATTTTTAATTAAAAATATAATGAAACTCGAATTTCAATTACATTTTAATAGATACAGCATTACGAGACTATTTGTACGTGAGTGTGTTGACTCCCATTGCATTGTGTATTCGGAATATGGAAGACGTAATTTACCCTTTGTTGTCGTTAGATACATTTTTTAAATATACACAAAATTATATCACAGGTATTCTGTTGCGATGTTTATGTCTCGATTAGGCATTTGGTACATGCAAGAATTTAAATATATTTATAATTTTTTTTTATATTTAAATACGGAAACCAAAAGTAACTTTTCCTCAGTCACTACAACGTAGCCTACATTTCTAAAAATATTTTGTATATTTCTGTTCGCTTATTGTTTATATTTATTCATCATACTTTTAAGTTATGTCTCTCAAATAAGTATTCTATTATTAAAATTTTGTACGCATTTCTGTATTTGTTATCTAAGTTACGGAGTTTGTTTTATGCCTTGTAAAAGAGTTTCACTTTGTCGTATGAAAATTTTACAGGCAAAATTACTGGTTAACGTAATTATACCAACATTTACAGCGTTTGTCGTGTTGTTCCAATTTTATTAAAAGTTAATCGAATAACATTTCAAAATTATTAAAAACGTATCACAGTTAAAAACCTTTATCACAATAACAGTTCGATTAATGTTTATAATAATTATAGATGAATGACATTATATTCCGAAATAGGGACAAAGTTACTTTTAGAGTTCAAACCACGAAGTAATGTCTTATATTCCGGAAGCAAAACGTAATTGCCCGTTTACTATTAAATTATTTGTCTTTCAACAGAATTATACGGTCAACAATGCTAACGTGTCTTTATTTTGGTGTGAAATTGTTATTTTACGGGTGGAACAGTTTTTAGAGCTTATGTTCTTTCGCGTTGCGTTGCAGTTAAGTTTGCCTAGAGTCGTAAACAATAGGCGACTGTGATTTCAACTGTAAAAATAATAGCCCTGAGGATGAGAGCAGAGATGGCTGTCGAAACGTTGGCGGAAGAAATGGTTCGTTCACTATTCAGCCACCTGACGCGGCTTGTCCGAGAGTCTATCATCAATAGACTACGTTCTTAGTCGCTAAACAGAGAAGAAAAAAGAGCTGTGTGTAAAGTATTTTGAGGAATATTTTAATAGCAAAAGGAATCTAGATAATTTAAGCAATTATAGTACTTGGAACGTTATATTAGAAGTGAAGTTAAATCGAATTTGTAATGACAGTTTAGAAGAGACAAAATGGTTTAAGTTCATTCCATTGAAATTAAATGAGTAGCTGTACCATTGATTGGGTTACTAATTAATCAAGGACACATTTGGTTTAGATAGTAATTAACCACGTGATTAAGGAAGTAATTAAGTATTTTATTTACGGATGTACTAAACGTGTTATATTAATGAAATGCGAATTGAAATAACGGACGTTTTGGTATTTAATCCATGATTATTTATAACACACGTTTATGATGCTGCATGTTTTTTTTCCAGACGTTGGCTGCTGTGTCTTTGTTCCGAAAGCGACATGAGTAGTTTAATGTATTATTTCACGGATAAATGTAATTTTTGAAATTCGGCATTAAAAATAAAATATAAGGTTTTTTATCTCATAACTATTTCTTTCTGAATAATCATACTTTTAAGTATTTGACGAAATATTATTCCAGACGTCAATGTAGGAAAAAAGTTATAATATTTTGGTGCCAAATTTGGCATAAGTGCCCAAGGCATGACGTAATTTCAAAAATATTTGATATTAGATTAATGATAAATGTGTAGGTTTTGAGGTT